AGAGCGCCAGACGACGGGGCGCTCAGGCCTCGCGCCGGGTGCTTGTTGTGCCCGGCGGTCCGCTTGCTCCATCCGCTGAGCGTGTGGAAGCGTACGGCTACGAGCTCCTCCTGCGCTAGCTGTGCCGTGGGCAAGCATACGGGCACGGCGTACGCCGAGCGCTTGGGCTCTTCATGAAGCTTCAGGAGGCCAGGTCACCATCCAGTGACACGGGGTCGTAACTCTCGTGGATAACCACCGCAGAAACATCATACGCCTCCTCTGGGCCGTCCATCACATCCAGGTCATGATCACCTGAGGACAAACAACTGCTGTCAACAAAACTGGAACTGAGCTGAATAATGACACTATGGACGTTATTCACAGCAGCGCCATCTTTGATTTCTAAGGGGAATGAAAGCGAGGCTGTGAGGGATACACATACATCTCTTCAGTGGGTATTCTATTATTTAAAGGTGCAGTGTGTAAAGTTTAGTGGCATCTAGGGGTGAGGTTGCGAATTGCAACCAACAGAAGTTACGGTGGCCGACAGGGAAAGATGTCACCAGTTAAGCAATGAGGTTTCTTTACTGATAAATGAAGAAATTAGGTTTACCTAATTATTCAGTAAAATGATATATGTATATGATAACTTATTTTTCATTTTAAAGAGAACTACTCCATTAAGCAGCGAGTTACGGTGTTGTATGGGAAACACACCCCTGTACTGTATTAAACGCTGTAGAAATAAACGTGACTTGATCAGGAGTCCACACTTCAGACACCTGTGATAACCTTCAAGCGCTTCAGGTCCTTCTGATGAACGCAGTGAGCCGCTGTCACGACCCAGCCGGCGTCCAGAAGAGCTCCTCCACACACACTCTCTCCGTTATAATCTATCAGCGCCTGGAGACGGAGAACACACTCGTCATCTGATCACTTCTTCTCGTGACGCGTGACGAGCACGTTTACTGTTACCTGCCAAGGACAGTGGCCTCTGGGACAGTGAATCCCCCCCGCGAGCTGTTTTTGAGGATGATCTGTGTTTGTCGTCTGAAGCGGGATCTTTCCACATGGATATTCAACTGCAACAAATCACAGATTAAATAGAAAACGTTTGGCAAGAGAAACATTGAATGTTGAAAAGTGCCTGAAAGTTAAAGTGCCCCTATTACTTTAAAGGTTCCTAATGTTGTTTTGGCATCTCTTAAATCAGGTTTACATTCATCCAAGACCAAAAACACTTTAAGTCCCTCATAATCTGCACTGCAGCTTCAGCTCTTTCTCTCAGTGTCTGAAACGCGTCGATCGAGGATTCAGTCTCTCTAAGCCCCGCCTCTCTGAGAGCTGCTCTGCTGTGATTGGTCAGAAAGCAAACGCTCATTATCATATCTGAACCTCAGCTCTTGATCACAGTGATGTGAACAGTAACGATGGCGTGGGTTTCACCGTATCAATCTCAGAAAACAGCGTCTCCTCGACACGAACAACACGAGCCGAACTCTTCCAGTCTCAGATACACTAATGTTTGAGGGCGGAGCTAAGAGGCGGGCATTACTTTTCTTTTTTTTTTACTTTCTTTTTTTATTCATTTAGCTGACACTTTTATCCAAAGCGACTTACAATTGCTATACATGTCAGAGGTCGCACTCCTCTGGAGCAACTAGGGGTTAAGTGTCTTGCTCAGGGACACATTGGTGTCTCACAGTGGATTCGAACCCGGGTCTCTCACACCAAAGGCATGCGTCTTATCCACTGCGCCCCCTTTTTTTTTATCCATTACTTACTCTTCTGGAAACAAACTTTGTTGCATTATTTTTCTGTTATCTCTGTAAAGCTGCTTTAATACACTCTGTGTTGTAAAAAGCGCTATATAAATAAATGTGACTTGATTTGAATTGACTACATTATAGGGGCACTTTAAATAAGTTTAGTTTGGAGTATGAAAGTTTTATAAGCCTTGTGTACTTTGAGAGTTGAAGTTTATAGGTCTTTATTTATATATTCTTCCCACCTTGAGCAACACAAGACGTCCCATCAGCCCCCAGTGTGTATCCCGTGGCACAGCGACATGAGCGCCGGGGTCCCGAAGCCTCGCAGAACTGCTCACAGCCTCCGTTCACGTGAAGACACCTCAGCGTCTCCTCGAACCCTGCCCGTGGAACACATCTGTGAGCTTGCAGAAGGACACGCTGCTGGTTACCGGTCACGTTCACCCACCTTTCTCACAGTATTTTCCCTCGAACCCCTCCGGACACAGGCAGTAGTAGGTGCTCGCCAGATAAACACACGTGCCGTTGTTCTTGCACGGATTGGTCAAGCACGGCTCCTTAGCTTAGGTAGATGATTACATGTATAAATCAAGCAAATGTTTAAAAAATAAAATTGGTTTATAGTAATTCAATGCATCTTGAACTGAGATGAAACATGGAAGCTTGTTTCCACCACAGAATTAAAAATGTAATTGCGACTTTTTATCTCACAATTCAGATTTTTTTTCTCAGAATTGCGTGATATAAAGTCAGAATTGCGTAATATAAAGTCGCAATTGCAAGTTATAAAGTCTAATTCTAAGGATAAAACTTTTTTAGTCAGAATTGCATGTTTATATCTCACAATTCTGACTTTATAACACGCATTTGGGAGATATAAAGTCAGAACTGGATGATATAAAGTCACAATTGTGTGTTATAAAGTCAGAATTGTGAGATATAAACAGGCAATTCTGACTAAAAAAGTCAGTCTTTTTTACCCTTAGAATTAGACTTTATAACTCGCAATTGCGACTATATTACGCAATTCTGACTTTTTAACATGCAATTGCGACTTTATATCACGCAATTCTGACTTTCTATTACGCAATTGCTTGTTATAAAGTCAGATTTGCGAGATATAAACTCACAATTATGTGATAAAAAGTCGCAATTATCTTTTAAAATGTTTTATACTGTGGCCGAAACAAGCTTCCATATAAACAAACACCTTTTTTGAACAAACAGAACCTTTGACTTGGTCAATAAATACTGTGTTTGTTTGTTTGTTTGTTTTTTAGCAGTCCATGAGACCATGACCAGTAATGAAATCAGTTACATGATTATATAATACTATGGTCACAACTGTAGGCTACTAATAATAATGTACAATGTCAGAAAGATTCTCTCAGTGAAAAGCACGTATTTATACTAATATTTGACTACAGTTTTTGAGGAAACTATGGTGTGTCCTGTTTGTTTTTTGTGATGGGCAGCGGTGGGTCACGTTTATTTTGCCCCATACTCACCGGAGTAACTCAACCAAAACTGTTTCTGCAAAAGATAAACCAAACGAATTCGCGAAGTTATTTAAAATAATTTGTCAGATGAGTGATAATATTACATGATATCTGAGTAGGTACCGTCTTCGTGTCGTCCTCGAACACCTCGCGCGCCTCCTCGTAATCGCAGATTTCTTCGACGCACTCGCGCTCGAGGTTCCCGCGCTTCATCTCCTCAAGGAAAGAGTTCGCGCGTCTCACGCGCTGCAACACAGAACTGGCGCCATCTTTGTCAAGAAACACTGGAAACACCCGAGGAACAGAGGTAGAACAGAAGTAGTTTGATACGCAAGTTATATAACAGGCGGTCTATGTTGTTATCGATAAACGAGCAACACGAACACTCCCGATATAGAACACTGCGCGCGCGAGTCACTTCATTGATTATAACGGTTACGGGAGAGTTATATTAGTTCGTGTCGCTCGCAATTCTTACCACCGATGGATCCGTGAAATATCAGGACACACAGCAACACAACAGCACAAGTGTCCATGTTCACCTCCGGACACACGCGTGGGCAAAGTTTCCTCAGAGTCCCGATGGTGAGACTGAAATTAGCCGATCGACCGGGAGCAAAGGGCTTCTGTGTGAGATTCACTCAGACACACTGATAATGAGTAATCGAACTCATTATTGGACCAGGCTTTGATTTTAAAGTCACCATGTATTATGGAATACTGCAGCTTTATTCTTAAATGATTTATCGGTGCACATCATTATTATCATGTTTTATTCATGTTCCTGGTAATCTTGAATCAGAATAAGTTCCTCTTGCAGCATCTCTTCTCTTCTCTGATGACGAGGGCGGGGCTTTAACCTGTCACTCACATGAGATCAGCCAATAGCAAACCACAACCATCCAATCAGTTCCCCACAGACACAATCAAGCCCCGCCCACATGTGTTCTTGTTCCAGAAGCGTTTCTCTCGATATACGACACAATAGAGGAGAACAACTTTATGCTGACTTTAAAAGTCTCACACAGATTATTTTGAAACAGTACTAAACATATAATGTGAGAAACCACTTATTAGCTACTTTAATAACTACATATTATTACACCCTGGCCTGTCCTAACCAGACGCGACGCAATAAAAGGCAGCTTTTCCATGTTAATCAGAGTTCTTGTCCTAATGAGCCACGATGGCGATACTCGATAAACGTTTTTTAATTCTGCACCGTCGCCCTGGAACAACAACACAAAGTATATGGTGAATATATACTCACGAGAAACTCACAATAGTGTGGATTCCCATTGGAACGACCGAAACATTTGCACACACACACATTTATACACATCATGCATATAAACCAAATAAACACAGATAAATTTCATTCTACTGAATTGTTTATTTGTGAATGAGGTCATGAAGGCCAAAGCTTTGAGAGGTTAAAAATGTCAAACAATGAAGAAATTAGACATAATCAGACATAAATAGAGCAGCGCTCAAATTCAGAAGCTTTAACGCATCACTAGAGTAGAATTGGCCGTATGTTCGTGGATCCACTGCAGGCGTTGGAGACGCGCGTGTAGATGCCGTAGATCCCGGACTGCTTTTATCACTACCACATTTATCATGGATAGATGCACTTTTATGGTCTTCAAATTTTCTCCGGCCATTCACTGCCATTATAAAGCTTGGAATTTTTAAATATAAATCTGATTGTATTCGTCTGAAGAAGAATGTCATATACACCTAGGATGACTCGAGGGAGAGTAAATCATGGGCTGATTAAATTTTTTGGGTGAACTATCCCTTTAACGCTTCACTTGAGTAGAGTTCGCCGTATGTTGGTGGATCCACTGCAGGTAGTTGGAGACGCGCGTGTAGATGCCGTAGGATCCCGGTCGAGCGCAGCCTTTCCCCCAGCTCACGATTCCCAGCAGGAACGTGGTGTTTCTGTAGCGGGTCACTAGCGGGCCGCCGCTGTCGCCTTTACACGAGTCCTGCTTTCCCTCGATGTAACCGGCGCAGAACATGTTATCAGTGAGCGAGAGTTGGCTGCTCTTCACACACTCCTGCGTGCGAATGCGCGGCACCTGGAGTCGGCGCAGTAAGCGTGAGGTGGGTCCGTCCTCGCTGCGTTTGCCCCACCCGCTCACCGTGTGCTTGCTAACGGCCCACAGCACGCGCTCCGCCATGTCGCGCACCGGCAGGCACACGGGCACGGCGTACGCGCTGTAGACGACGGGTCTGCGCAGACGCAGCAGGGCGATGTCACTGTCTGCGGTCTCCGGCACGTAGCCGGGGTGCATTAGCATCTCCTCCACCTCGATCACCTGTTCTGTGCCTTCGTCCACCTCGATGTCATGCTCACCTGAGTCACAGCGCGACAGAACAACAATAATTAGTTATTAACAATCTTAAAGGGGTCCTACAATGCCCTTTTCACAAGATGTCAAATAAGTCTCTGATGAGTGTATGTGAAGTTTTAGCTCACAAAACACCACAGATATTTTTTATAGCATGTTAAAATTGTCACTTTTTGAGGGTGAGCAAAAACAGGCTGTTTTTGTGTGTCCCTTTAAATGCAAATGAGCTGCTGCTCCCGGCACAGGGGGCGGAGCTTCAAGAGCTTGTGTGTGTGTGTGTGTGTGTGTGTCTACATACAATAAATGTCTCCACTAACATTCAGAAACGTCTAAAAGTTAAACTCTCGCTGAGTCTCTCCGTAAGGCTGCACAAAATCAATAAAAAAATCACAGCCAATCAGAAGAGCGTGTGTAATAATTCTGCTCTGAGAGCGACTGTACCTGCGACTATCTTGAGAAACTTGACTTTGAGTTTCTCTAAACAGTGTGCGGCTGTGAGGATCCATGTGGGTTTATAGATCACACCTCCGCAGAAGCCCTTCTCGCCGTACTTCAGCAGCACCTGTCCACACACACACACACACACACAGGTGTTTGACGGTAATGACACATCAACATGTTGTTCTGACGGTGACCTCGGTACCTGCCACGGACAGTGACCTTTAGGACATTCGGCTCCACCAACGATTCGAGACCTCAGGTCCGCCTGAGAGTTCGTACCAGAACCTCCTCCCCAAAGAAGAGGAACCTTCCCACACGGAAAAGCCTCTGTAAGACACGGACCGTTATAATGGTTTAATTCTAAACTAATTAATTTTAAACGAATTAGACAGTTTTCTATGTAATTAAAGGGATAGTTCACCCAAAAATGAAAATTAGCCCATGATTTACTCGCCCTCAAGTCATCCTAGGTGTATATGACATTCTTCTTTCAGACGAATACAATCAGAGTTATATTAAAAAATGTCCTGGCTCTTCCAAGCTTTATAATGGCAGTGAATGGCCGTTTTTGTTTTGAAGTCCATAAAAGTGCATCTGTCCATCATAAAAGTGCATCTATCCATGATAAAAGTGCATATATCCATCATAAAAGTGAATCTGTCCGTCATAAATGTGCATCTATCCATCATAAAAGTGCATCTATCCGTCATAAAAGTGCATCTATCCATGATAAAAGTGCATCTATCCATCATAAAAGTGCATCTGTCCATCATAAAAGGGCATATATCATAATAAAAGTGCATCTGTCCATCATAAAAGTGCATCTATCCATCATAAAAGTGCATCTATCCATCATAAATGTGCATCTATCCATCATAAAAGTGCATCTATCCATCATAAAAGTGCATCTGTCCATCATAAAAGTGCATCTATCCATGATAAAAGTGCATCTATCCATCATAAAAGTGCATCTATCCATCATAAAAGTGCATCTATCCATCGTGCATCTATCCATCATAAAAGTGCATCTGTCCATCATAAATGTGCATCTATCCATCATAAAAGTGCATCTATCCATCATAAAAGTGCATCTATCCATGATAAAAGTGCATCTATCCATCATAAAAGTGCATCTGTCCATCATAAAAGTGCATCTGTCCATCATAAAAGTGCATCTATCCATCATAAAAGTGCATCTATCCATGATAAAAGTGCATCTATCCATGATAAAAGTGCATCTATCCATCATAAAAGTGCATCTATCCATGATAAAAGTGCATCTATCCATCATAAAAGTGCATCTATCCATCATAAAAGTGCATCTATCCATCATAAAAGTGCATCTATCCATCATAAAAGTGCATCTGTCCATCATAAAAGTGCACCTATTCATCATAAAAGTGCATCTATCCATCATAAAAGTGCATCTATCCATCATAAAAGTGCATCTATCCATGATAAAAGTGCATCTATCCATCATAAAAGTGCATCTATCCCTCATAAAAGTGCATCTATCCATCATAAAAGTGCATCTATCCATGATAAAAGTGTATCTATCAATCATAAAAGTGCATCTATCCATGATAAAAGTGCATCTATCCATCATAAAAGTGCATCTATCCATGATAAAAGTGTATCCATCAATCATAAAAGTGCATCTATCCATCATAAAAGTGCATCTATCCATCATAAAAGTGCATCTATCCATGATAAAAGTGTATCTATCAATCATAAAAGTGCATCTATCCATGATAAAAGTGCATCTATCCATCATAAAAGTGCATCTATCCATGATAAAAGTGCATCTATCCATCATAAAAGTGCATCTATCCATCATAAAAGTGCATCTATCCATCATAAAAGTGCATCTATCCATCATAAAAGTACATCTATCCATCGCATCTATCCATCATAAAAGTGCATCTATCCATGATAAAAGTGCATCTATCCCTCATAAAAGTGCATCTATCCATGATAAAAGTGCATCTATCCATCATAAAAGTGCATTTATCCCTCATAAAAGTGCATCTATCCATCATAAAAGTACATCTATCCATGATAAAAGTGCATCTATCCATAAAAGTACATCTATCCATGATAAAAGTGCATCTATCCATGTGCATCTATCCATCATAAAAGTGCATCTATCCATCATAAAAGTGCATCTATCCATCATAAAAGTGCATCTGTCCATCATATAAGTGCATCTATCCATGATAAAAGTGCACCTATCCATCATAAAAGTGCATCTATCCATCATAAAAGTGCATCTATCCATCATAAAAGTGCATCTATCCATCATAAAAGTGCATCTGTCCATGATAAAAGTGCATCTATCCATGATAAAAGTGCATCTATCCATGATAAAAGTGCATCTATCCATGTGCATCTATCCATCATAAAAGTGCATCTATCCATCATAAAAGTGCATTTGTCCATCATAAAAGTGCATCTGTCCATCATAAAAGTGCATCTATCCATGATAAAAGTGCATCTATCCATGATAAAAGTGCATCTATCCATGATAAAAGTGCATCTATCCATGATAAAAGTGCATCTATCCATCATAAAAGTGCATCTGTCCATCATAAATGTGCATCTATCCATCATAAAAGTGCATCTATCCATCATAAAAGTGCATCTATCCATCATAAAAGTGCATCTGTCCATCATAAAAGTGCATCTATCCATCATAAAAGTGCATCTATCCATCATAAAAGTGCATCTATCCATCATAAAAGTGCATCTGTCCATCATAAAAGTGCACCTATCCATCATAAAAGTGCATCTATCCATCATAAAAGTGCATCTATCCATCATAAAAGTGCATCTATCCATGATAAAAGTGCATCTATCCATCATAAAAGTGCATCTATCCATGATAAAAGTGTATCTATCAATCATAAAAGTGCATCTATCCATCATAAAAGTGCATCTATCCATCATAAAAGTGCATCAATCCATCATAAAAGTGCATCAGTCCATCATACAAGTGCATCTATCCATCATAAAAGTGCATCTATCCATCATACAAGTGCATCTATCCATCATAAAAATGCATCTATCCATTATAAAAGTGCATCAGTCCATCATACAAGTGCATCTATCCATCATAAAAGTGCATCTGTCCATGATAAAAGTGCATCTATCCATGATAAAAGTGCATCTATCCATCATAAAAGTGCATCTATCCATCATAAAAGTGCATCTGTCCATCATAAAGCTTGGAAGAGCCAGGCCATTTTTTAATACACTCTGATTGTATTTGTCTGAAAGAAGAGTGTAATATACACCTAGGATGGCTTGAGGGAGAGTAAATCATGGGCTAATTTTCATCTTTGGGTGAACTATCCCTTTAAGCATGTCTGTACAGTGTTTGCATGAAAGGGAAGCTGGAACATGAACTATAGGGCTTGTCTTGATTGGTGAGTTGTGGATGTTCTCACCGTGTGTCGGGCAGTTCTGACCGTCTGACCCTAAGAAATACCCATCGGCACAGGAGCAGTTGCGCTGGCCGTCCTCCTCCACGCAGAAGTGCTCGCAGTGCCCGTTCTCATGCAGACAGGAGTCAGGCACACCTTTAATCTCTGCGGAGTCAAAGAGATTCAGGAGTTAGGCACACCTTTACGAGAGTGGGAGATTCAGGAGTTAAGCACACCTTTAATCTCTGCAGAGTCAGAGCGGGAGAATCAGGAGTTAGCTTGTTCTTTAACCTCAAGGACGTTTTTACTCTTTCCGGACGCCAAATTCTCTTCAGAAAAGACACTTTTCAGAGTTTTTGAAGCACAAATCCCTCGTACATTACATTAGATATGGTTGATAAACAATTATAAACTGCAAAATTAACATAGTATAATATGTAACCAGTTTAAACAAACTTCTTCCTCAGTCTTGTTCCAGTACAAAAGTCCTAACCCTAATCAAGATATGAAGTCTTTCTGAAAAATGTATCAAAAGCGTGTGTTTGTGCTTAAACAAGAGCAAATATCTGCCACTGGAGTCACAAATAATCTTGTTTTCCCTTTGATTAAGTTTATTTTTCTGACAAAAACTCACTTATTAAGTCTTCAGTCATTCTGTTTCCCCAGTAATTGTGTCTTGATTTAAGAATGTTTAGATATTTGTGCTGGAAAACAAGACAGAAACACTGAGGAAGAGCATCTGATGACCGGCTAGTGTTCTCACCGCGCTCGCAGGAGCGTCCGCTGAAGCCCGGCGCACACAGACACGTGAAGGATTCTGCGTTCTGACTCGTGCACAGCCCGTTGTTCTCACACGGGTTCGATGCGCAGTGATCTTTAACTGCAGACCAACATAAAGATTCATCTTTATTACACAGAAAATGTCATTTAGCAAAAAGTCACGTATCTTTAAAACTCACCATCGTAGATCTTCCAGAACTCATTCTGTGTGGAGACAGTAGTTAGATAGTGTTACGGCATCTTTACTCATATTTCAGACGCAATGCCACATAAGAGCCAGAATGCATCATGCCTGTTCGGACACTAGTTTCAGAGTATTCGTTAGCCTCGCACGCTGTAACACATCTGTCCCTCGCGGGTCAACGTGACCCGAGCCTTAAAGCTATACTTCATTATTTTCTTTGTCCAGAAAGTTTATTTTATTTCATTTTGATAATATTTGTCCTATTTTTTAATGCAATTTCTTTGGAGATTTTTTTGTTATTTTTTATTTTATTTACCTTTAACTAGATTTGATCAATAAATAATAAATAAATAGTCATTTAAGCACATTCCTCACATTCTTAAATTTAAAAAAACTCACAATTTCACGCATAAACCTTTTAATTCAGCTCTAAATATCTTACACTGGGAGTCTTTGACCTCTTGTGGAATATAATAATAACACATGATATTTCATGCCTCTAGATGGGCTTATAGCTCTATATGGAGCAGAGGAGCTGTTCCGCTGGGTCCTAAAGCCAGTTTCTCTTCAGTGTTCGCTCACACACACATCTACACATTATACACTCATTTATTGGTAAAGTTTTAGCATTTTTAGTTTGAATGTTGATCATTTGTAGGTTTGTCTGTGTGTACTGAAGCATTCCTCGCATTCCATTCATTCCAAAGGGGGTCAGATTGACCCGAGAGGGAAGGATTTGTTACTTTTTAAAATTTCTACCACAAAACTCCTTGAATCCTTTAAATACATTTTGTTTGTGTATTCGTGGTTCAAGTGCAACTAAAGTCCTAGGGTATTAGACCCCTCTGATGAACACTCAATTTTTCTATTTTTAAAATGACCCGAGGGAAGGATGAGGGTTGTGGGTAACACACCTAAATGCCACTTCAGAAACGTTACACTAGTTTTCTAGACAACATGCACCAAGAGCAGTGCTGTCAGTCACTGAACGTGTGTGTGTGTGTGTGTGTGGTGTAATCCTGACCGTGGCCTCAGTGTGTTCGAACACCTCCCTCGCCTCCTCGTACGAGCACTTCTCCTCCAGACACTCCCTCTCCAGATTCCCCGTCTTCATCTCCTCGAACCAGCCCGAGTTCGCTCGCCTGCTCCGGGTCAGAACCTCATGAGCCCCGTCCCGCCCCGTGAACACTGAACACACGCACACACGCACACAAGACTGCACTGACAACACTCTTAGTACCAACACTACTGCACCTGGTTGTATAGCTGGTGTTTTACCTTACCTGTGGCCGAATGACAGCAGTAAAGACTCCAGAGGACGTGAAAGCCTGACAGGAGACGCATGTCGACCAGCGCTTCGGTTCTTCTGCTGGAGGGTCAAAGGTCTGAAGTCTAAATACTCTCAGGCCCTCCGGCTGACAACACTCCCTCACTCACACACTCACACACACAGATACAAGACAAAGGACAACATTTGAAAAAAATATTTTATTTTTGATACATAATACAAATTTCAAACATGTTCTGCCAGTGTTTGTTATATATTCTCACTTGCATGTGTCCTTAAAGGGGAAGTGTGTCATTTTTTTTTTTATTGCAAAAGTAACTCGATTATCTGGTCCCAATGTTTCCTTCGCGATGCTAAACATCGTAAGTCTCGACCCTACTCATGAAACGAGTCAGACCAGTGTCACTCTTCAGGAAGTCCGTCCAAAATTACCAATTTAACTTGGAATATGGCATAAAGTAAAGCCAAACAATCTCTGTTACTGTAATCTCCTGTTATCACTGTAAAGCTACTATGAAACGATCTATATTGTTAAAGAGCTGTATAACTGAAGGAGACTCGACTTGACATAAAACATTTGTGACTGTGAACGTGAAACCTGAAGACAAACCTCCCCTTAAATAACATTCAGAAACACTTGTATTATATCTTGTTATATATTTTTTTTTCACAAGAGGTTGGCAAAGACACACAATGTAAGATATTTTGAGTTGAATTAAAAGGATTATGCATGAAATTGTGAGTTATTCTGAATTTAAGTTGAAAGAATGTGAGGAATGTGCTCAAATTACTATTTATTTATTATTTATTGATCAAATCAAGTAATTTAAAGGTAAATAAAATAAAAAAAGAAGTGCGAGGGAAGAATAACATTCAGAAACTCTTGTGTATTCATGCGATGGCCACAGTCTTCGCAATCCACTCCACGAAGATGGACACGCGCGTGTAGATGCCGTACACGCCGGCGCTGGCGCAGCCTTTCCCCCAGCTCACGATCCCGGTCAGAAACCATGTGTTCCGGTAGCGTGTGACTAGCGGGCCGCCGCTGTCGCCCTGACACGAGTCCCGGCCGCCCTCGAGGAACCCGGCGCACAGCATGTTCCTGCTCACCTTCAGGCCGGACCGAGCCCGACACTCGTCCAGCGAGACCCTGGGCACCTGGAGCCGCTGCAGAACCACCGACACCGGGCCCGACTGGGTCAGGCGACCCCAGCCGCTCACCGTCGACATGCGCACCGACGCTAGCGTGCGGACGAACGTGCCGTTAGCGGGAGGAAGGCAGACCGGCACGGCGTAGCGGTCGAGTGTGACGGGGCTGGCGAGACGTAGCAGAGCGATGTCGCTGTCAGCGCTGGAGTGGTTATACCACGGGTGCACCAACACTTTAGACACTTTCCTCGTCTGTTCGGTTCCTTCGTCTTTATCGAGGATGTGTTCGCCTACAGGAGACAGAATAACACCGAAAGATGAGATCTGAGAGGAGGAACATCAACAGTACCAAAACTCCTCGCATTTATGATCTTCTGGACACAATCAAAGCCCTGCCCTACAGCTTTTCTTGTTCTAGAAGCCGCAAAAGTAACGTTACTTTTTTTGGGAGTAACGCAATATTGTAATGCATTCCTTTTAAAAGTAACTTTCCCCAACACTGAAGAAAAGAGGATCGTAACTTGCCAGAAGTTTTGATTGTTTTGATTGTTATATGGCATCACAAAGGTCAAGTGGGAGAAGATGGAGCTTTAAAAACACACAGTTTCCAAATACTAAGAACAAGTTGCAGTGATTTGGACATGATGTAAACGCAGCATTATTGGAGCTACACCGGACAAACCCCACAATGACAGAAGCTCATGACCAGGGAACTTACCGACTGTCACTTCTAGGATGGTTGGATCCCTATTCCAGACACAATGAGCTGCCGTGAGAATCCACTGGGGATCTAGAATAACTCCACCGCATTTAAACAATCCAGAAAGCTTTAGTGAAGCCTGTGGAGAACATGCAGATACAACGGTTCTTTATCGGCATTGATGTTTCCATGAAGAACCTTTAACATACAGTCAAACTTAAATTTCACCCTCAACATTTCTCACATTATCACAGTTTATTCGCTTTAGTTTAGAAAATGGAAATAAAATATGACAATAACTCAGAGTTAAACTATATCTGAACAAATTCCTCTTGATAATGTCAGATAACTTTGAGCAAAACATGATCAGATCAAAGTGTTGGAATCATTTTTGGTCCCAAATTATCTATACATTTTACTGGTAGTCACTGTATGAAGAATTATTGGGTGTAATATGTCAGAGTTTACTTTATTTTGCTCTCCTCACTTACATAAATGAACTATAGTGTCCTGCACACACTAGTGAAACAATATTACAAAATGATATCTGGTGTCTGAATCATTTTTGGTTTGACTGTATATTGAACCTTTCCATTCCACAAAAGCTTCTTAAAATGTTCTTCACACTAAGACAAAACGGTTCTCTACGGAAAGGTTCTTTGGGGAACCCAGAATGGTTCTTCGAATCACTGCAAGAAAACAACCTTTTGGCACCTTTATTTTCAAGAGTACAGAGACAGATTTTCTGATCATGGATAATGTAACTCAGTCATGAATGCTCACCTGCCACGGACACTGTCCCTTCGGACACACGTCCCCCTTCACAATCCTGGGACCCACACCCTTCTCCACCAGACGGCCACATGGGAAACCATCTGAGAAACACAACATGGGTTATCGTGGACAACACTGTGGCACTGAGCACTGGACCCATCCCAATACGCCTGCTTCCCTACTATTATAGTGGGTGAGAAAGGAGTGGAGCTGGGGAGGTGGAGGGACGCCAGAACAGCTGATGCTGGGATGAGGAGTATAGGAGCGAGACGCCTGAGTCATGCAGGTGGAGCTGGGGAGGTGGAGGGACGCCAGAACAGCTGATGCTGGGATGAGGAGTATAGGAGCGAGACGCCTGAGTCATGCAGGTGGAGCTGGGGAGGTGGAGGGACGCCAGAACAGCTGATGCTGGGATGAGGAGTACAGGAGCGAGACGCCTGAGTCATGCAGGTGGAGCTGGGGAGGTGGAGGGACGCCAGAACAGCTGATGCTGGGATGAGGAGTACAGGAGCGAGATGCCTGAGTCATGCAGGTGGAGCTGGGGAGGAGGAGGGATGCCAGAACAGCTGATGCTGGGATGAGGAGTACAGGAGCGAGACGCCTGAGTCATGCAGGTGGAGCTGGGGAGGTGGAGGGACGCCAGAACAGCTGATGCTGGGATGAGGAGTACAGGAGCGAGATGCCTGAGTCATGCAGGTGGAGCTGGGGAGGAGGAGGGACGCCAGAACAGCTGATGCTGGGATGAGGAGTACAGGAGCGAGACGCCTGAGTCATGCAGGTGGAGCTGGGGAGGTGGAGGGACGCCAGAACAGCTGATGCTGGGATGAGGAGTACAGGAGCGAGACGCCTGAGTCATGCAGGTGGAGCTGGGGAGGTGGAGGGACGCCAGAACAGCTGATGCTGGGATGAGGAGTATAGGAGCGAGACGCCTGAGTCCTGCAGGTGGAGCTGGGGAGGTGGAGGGACGCCAGAACAGCTGATGCTGGGATGAGGAGTACAGGAGCGAGACGCCTGAGTAATGCAGGTGGAGCTGGGGAGGAGGAGGGACGCCAGAACAGCTGATGCTGGGATGAGGAGTACAGGAGCGAGACGCCTGAGTCATGCAGGTGGAGCTGAGGAGGGGGAGGGACGCCAGAACAGCTGATGCTGGGATGAGGAGTACAGGAGCGAGACGCCTGAGTCATGCAGGTGGAGCTGGGGAGGTGGAGGGACGCCAGAACAGCTGATGCTGGGATCAGGAGTATAGGAGCGAGACGCCTGAGTCCTGCAGGTGGAGCTGGGGAGGTGGAGGGACGCCAGAACAGCTGATGCTGGGATCAGGAGTATAGGAGCGAGACGCCTGAGTCCTGCAGGTGGAGCTGGGGAGGAGGAGGGACGCCAGAACAGCTGATGCTGGGATGAGGAGTATAGGAGCGAGACGCCTGAGTCCTGCAGGTGGAGCTGGGGAGGTGGAGGGACGCCAGAACAGCTGATGCTGGGATCAGGAGTATAGGAGCGAGACGCCTGAGTCATGCAGGTGGAGCTGGGGAGGTGGAGGGACGCCAGAACAGCTGATGCTGGGATGAGGAGTACAGGAGCGAGATGCCTGAGTCATGCAGGTGGAGCTGGGGAGGAGGAGGGACGCCAGAACAGCTGATGCTGGGATGAGGAGTACAGGAGCGAGACGCCTGAGTCATGAGGGTGGAGCTGGGGAGGAGGAGGGACGCCAGAACGACTGATGCTTGAGCGAGGCTATATGCTCCCGCGGTTAATCGAAAGATTAGATGGGTTCACTCCTACCCAAATTACATTGTGAACTTCACTTTTTGAATTTTATGTATGCATGAAATACCTGACCAGCTATAGCTTTTAAACAAATTGTCAAATAACCATTTTTATTTCAGAGTTGATAACTGCAGTAGCACACTACTGTGTGAGTGTGTGTGTGTGTGTGTGCAGTGTGTGAGTGTGTGTGCAGTGTGTGTGTGTGAGTGTGTGCGCAGTGTGTGTGTGTGTGTGTGAGACGCACCCTGTGGCATGCAGCTGCTGTTGTCCGTGTGCAGTGTGTATCCAGGAGCACAGTCGCAGCGATGGGTCGAGTCAGTGATCTCCACACAGAAGTGATCGCAGCCGCCGTTCCTGTACAAACATCCGTAGGAACTCGCTGGGAATATTTCTGTGGGACGGACTACAGGATTTAAACATGAGTAGATGTTCAGTTCTGTGACGCTGCTGATGTGTGTGTGTGTGTGTGTGTGTGTGACACCTTTGTCACAGTGTCGCCCCTCAAAGTTCATCGGGCAGATGCAGACGTATGTGTTCTTCTGATCCACACATGTGGCCCCGTTCTGACACGGTGCCGACTGACAGAAGTCCACCTCTGAAGACCCAAACAACACATTCACAGGATCAGAACACACTGAGGGGTTGCCAGGTTGTTGCTATGGATGTCTGAGTGGTTGTCAGGTCATTGCTATGGAGTTCTGAGTGTTTGTCAGGTTGTTGCTATGGAGTGGTTGTCAGGTCATTGCCATGGAGATCTAAGTGGTTGTCAGGGCATTGCTATGGAGTTCTGAGTGGTTGTCAGGTCGTTGCTATGGAATTCTAAGTGGTTGTCAGGTTGTTGCTATGGAGTGGTTGTCAGTTCATTGCTATGGAGTTCTGAGTGGTTGTCAGGTTGTTGCTATGGAGTGGTTGTCAGGTCATTGCTATGGAGATCTAAGTGTTTGTCAGGTTGTCGCTATGGAGTGGTTGTCAGGTCATAGCTATGGAGATCTAAGTGGTTGTCAGGTTGTCGCTATGGAGTGGTTGTCAGGTCATAGCTATGGAGATCTAAGTGGTTGTCAGGTTGTCGCTATGGAGTGGTTGTCAGTTCATTGCTATGGAGTTCAGAGTGGTTGTGTGGTTGTTGCTATGGAGTTGTTGTCAGGTCATTACTATGAAGTTCTGAGTGGTTGTCAGGTTGTTGCTATGGAGTGGTTGTCAGGTCATTGCTATGGAGATCTGGGTGGTTGTCAGGTTGTTGCTATGGAGTGGTTGTCAGGTCATTGCTATGGAGTTCTGAATGGTTGTCAGGTCATTACTATTGAGTTGCTAAGGAGTTAATTTCTAACCTTTTATTTTAAATTTTATGTGCAACATTTAAAAAAGCATTCAACAATTTTGAACAACTTTAGCATGTAACTACTGATGAAATGTACTGCATAGTTTTATCAGATGTGTGTGTGCAGCATGTAAGCGCTGGTTCACCTGTGTATCTCTTCCAGAAATCCTCCTGAAACACAACAGAGTCACAATGTTAGTTTTTCCAAAAGATTGAGACTGTATTTATTTACTTTGGAGTAACTGTAATTATGTAATTAATATGTGATTTTCATATTTTATATTATACCCAGAGAGTGGTAATATTTTGCACATAGAAGAGCTTACATTGTGATATTATGTTGTTATGTTTAGTGTATATGTGTTGTGCTTTGTTGTGTGTGTGTGTATGTGTGTGTGTGTGTGTGTGTGCGTGTGTGCATGTGTGTGTGTGTGAGTTCGATGACTTATATGATGTTGTGTGCACTTCTGTATTTGTCTTCATTGTTGTACAGCTTTGATGTTAATATTTTGCTAAAAATTGTTAAGACCCCAGGAAGAATAGCTGCTGCTTAATGGAGTAGCTAATGGGGATCTAAATAATAAACAAATAAACAATAAACAGGAGAATCAGTTAGATCTCCATCAGCTCTTCTGCTGAACGGGTTAGGGTTAGTGTTAGTTTTCCTCACCAGTTGTTCTGGGACGCTGAAGATCTCTCGGGCCTCCTCATGCGAGCACACCTCCTCCAGACACTCCCGCTCTAGATCTCCCAGCTTCAGCTCCTCCAGGAACGAGTTCTCCCGTCGGACACGCTGCCGGAGCGCCCGGCTGGCCTCGGACTTACTGAGGAACACTGCAGATGAAATTATAAACATGGATGAGAAGCACTAACACAACCGGATCCGGGCCGTATCCAGACCAGATGGAGGACCTGCGCCTAAACACGGCCACAACGCATGATGTAGTCAGCCGGATCCGGGCCGGATCCAGATCAGATGGAGGACCTGCGCCTAGACACGACCACAACACATGATGTAGTCAGCCGGATCCGGGCCGTATCCAGATCAGATGGAGGACCTGCGCCTAGACACGACCACAACACATGATGTAGTCAGCCGGATCCGGGCCGGATCCAGATCAGATGGAGGACCTGCGCCTAGACACGACCACAACGCATGATGTAGTCAGCCGGATCCGGGCCGTATCCAGATCAGATGGAGGACCTGCGCCTAGACACGACCACAACGCATGATGTAGTCAGCCGGATCCGGCCCGTATCCAGATCAGATGGAGGACCTGCGCCTAGACACGACCACAACACATGATGTAGTCAGCCGGATCCAAGCCTTATCCAGATCAGATGGAGGACCTGCGCCTAGACACGACCACAACACATGATGTAGTCAGCCGAATCCAAGCCGGATCCAGATCAGATGGTGGACCTGCGTCTAGACACGGCCACAACGCATGATGTAGTCAGCCGGATCCGGCCCGTATCCAGATCAGATGGAGGACCTGCGCCTAGACACGACCACAACACATGATGTAGTCAGCCGGATCCAAGCCTTATCCAGATCAGATGGAGGACCTGCGCCTAGACACGACCACAACACATGATGTAGTCAGCCGAATCCAAGCCGGATCCAGATCAGATGGTGGACCTGCGTCTAGACACGGCCACAACGCATGATGTAGTCAGCCGGATCCGGGCCGTATCCAGATCAGATGGAGGACCTGCGCCTAGACACGGCCACAACGCATGATGTAGTCAGCTGGATCCGGGCCGGATCCAGATCAGATGGAGGACCTGCGCCTAGACACGGCCACAACACATGATGTAGTCAGCCGGATCCAAGCCGTATCCAGATCAGATGGTGGACCTGCGTCTAGACACGACCACAACGCATGATGTAGTCAGCCGGATCCGGGCCGGATCCAGATCAGATGGAGGACCTGCGCCTAGACACGGCCACAACACATGATGTAGTCAGCCGGATCCGGGCCGTATCCAGATCAGATGGAGGACCTGCGCCTAGACACGACCACAACGCATGATGTAGTCAGCCGGGCCGTATCCAGATCAGATGAAGGACCTGCGCCTAGACACGACCACAACGCATGGTGTAGTCAGCCGGATCCGGGCCGGATCCAGATCAGATGGAGGACCTGCGCCTAGACACGGCCACAATTCATGATGTAGTCAGCCGGATCCGGGCCGGATCCAGATCAGATGGAGGACCTGCGCCTAGACACGGCCACAACGCATCCCTGAAGTGTCAGCAGAGATTGTGTGATCTAGACTCATCGACACGACAGCCATCATGACTGGTCCTCAACAGACTCGTCTCCATACCGGCGTGACTCCGATCTTCAAGCAGAGGGAACTGGATAATATTCTGAATGTTCTGATCCAATCTGACCTCTGACCTGTAATGCTCCTGAATCATAATCATAATCATACACTGTTGGTTCGTTGGCCAGAGGAGAACTGAGCGACTGAGTCTGGTTTCTTCCAAGGTTTATTTCTCCATTCTGTCACTGATGGAGTTTTGGTTCATTTTAATATTCAACAATATTTTAATATTCAACAATATTATTGATCTCCTGTATTGACAGCATTATATGAGAACTGAACTGAGCTGGACGATGACATCATGGTTTTCTCCAGAGCGGCTATATACACTCACCGGCCACTTTATTAGGTACACCTGTCCAACTGCTCGTTAACACTTAATTTCTAAGCAGCCAATCACATGGCGGCAACTCAGTGCATTTAGGCATGTAGACATGGTCAAGACAATCTCCTGCAGTTTAAACCGAGCATCAGTATGGGGAAGAAAGTTGATTTGAGTGACTTTGAACGTGGCATGATTGTTGGTGCCAGAAGGGCTGGTCTGAGTATTGCAGAAACTGCTAATCTACTGGGATTTTCACGCACAACCATCTCTAGGGTTTACAGAGAATGGTCCGAAAAAGAAAAAACATCCAGTGAGCGGCAGTTCTGTGGGCGGAAATGCCTTGTTGATGCCAGAGGTCAGAGGAGAATGGCCAGACTGGTTCGAGCTGATAGAAGGGCAACAGTGACTGAAATAACCACTCGTTACAACCGAGGTATGCAGCAAAGCATTTGTGAAGCCACAACACGCACAACCTTGAGGCGGATGGGCTACAACAGCAGAAGACTCCACCGGGTACCACTCATCTCCACTACAAATAGGAAAAAGAGGCTACAATTTGCAAGAGCTCACCAAAATTGAACAGTTGAAGACTGGAAAAATGTTGCCTGGTCTGATGAGTCTCGATTTCTGTTGAGACATTTAGATGTTAGAGTCAGAATTTGGCGTAAACAGAATGAGAACATGGAACCATCATGCCTTGTTACCACTGTGCAGGCTGGTGGTGGTGGTGTAATGGTGTGGGGGATGTTTTCCTGGCACACTTTAGGCCCCTTAGTGCCAATTGGGCATCGTTTAAATGCCACGGCCTACCTGAGCATTGTTTCTGACCATGTCCATCCCTTTATGGCCACCATGTACCCATCCTCTGATGGCTACTTCCACCATGTCACAAAGCTCTAATCATTTCAAATTGGTTTCTTGAACATGACAATGAGTTCACTGTACTAAAATGGCCTCCACAGTCACCAGATCTCAACCCAATAGAGCATCTTTGGGATGTGGTGGAACGGGAGATTCGCATCATGGATGTGCAGCCGACAAATCTGCGGCAACTGTGTGATGCCATCATGTCAATATGGACCAAACTCCCTGAGGAATGCTTCCAGCACCTTGTTGAATCTATGCCACGAAGAATTGAGGCAGTTCTGAAGGCAAAAGGGGGTCCAACCCGTTACTAGCATGGGGTACCTAATAAAGTGGCCGGTGAGTGTATATATATATAAATTAACTAATAACTTTTTTACAACAAAAATGAAGCATCACTGAACTGACTTAAGCTGGACTGTGACGCTATTTTCTTCTAGAAACAAACTTTGTTGCATTATTCTCCTGTTATCTCTGTAAAGCTGCTCACTTTTTGTAAAAAGTGCTATATAAATAAATATATTGTAATCTATATAAATATTGACTGACACACACACACACGGGTGATGCAGACACACGCTCACCTGACGGAAGCCCGAAGCATTCTGGGACGGCAAGCAGCGCCAGGATCATGTAGAAGAGCTTCATGTTCAGCTTGGACTCCATGATGGTTTATCTTCTGGGTCGAAGTCCGAATCTCTGAAGCTCTCCCTGCTCTGGACACTCGTGGGCGTTCGGACAGAACATCATTGCGCAATAATCCTCTGCCTGAAGCACTTCTGTGTGTGGCCAGCAGGGGGAGCCACTCACACACACACACACACACACACACACACACACTGCAACAACTACAGTAAAACACTTTTATCTGTGGTGCTCAGACGAACAGAAGCACTGTCGCTGTTTTAATGTCTCGAAGTGTTGTACATTATCCACTATTAATTCTTCATCTTTACAATTTCAACCACAAACTGTTTTTACATATTCAACTGTTGATCTTGACAGCATTAAATGAGAACTGAACTGAGCTGACGATGACATCACTGTTTTCTCCAGAGCGGCTATATATATATATAAATGAACTAAATTAATAACCTTTTTTTTTTTTACAACAAAAATGAAGCATCACTGAACTGACTTAAGCTGGACTGTGACGCTATTTTCTTCTAGAAGCAAACTTTGTTGCATTATTCTCCTGTTATCTCTGTAAAGCTGCTGTGAAAAAGCGCTGTATAAATAAAGCTGATTGACTATGCTAGTCATTCTTTGCACAGTTGGTCCAAGTGTACGTGCGTCTGATTTAGGATTTTAGAAGCTTTACATCCTTTTAAGAAATTTAAAGGCACATTCTGTCATAATTTACTCGCGCTCGTGTTTTTGTCCATACAATGGAAGTCAATGGGGTCCAATGTTGTTTAGTGTTCCACAGAAGAAAGAGTCATACAGGTTTGGAAAACATGAGGGAGAGTAGCTAAATTATGATAATTTTGATCCCTTTCAGTACAGTTTCCTTTGACTTAAATGAGTTGTTGAACATTCAGACAGTGTTTAGCATTTGCATAATGATTCATATATGGCATATTTCACTATATCTGTCTTCACAGCATCTCTGACTTTCATTTAGCTAACACTATATAAGAAGCGCTGTGGTTTCCGTCTCGAGTTTAAACTCTAGTTTAGATCAGAACTCTGCGTGTGACGAGATACTGAAGTCTGTGTCTGAGGCCACAGAGAGAGAGTGTGTGTGTGTGTGTGTGTGTGTGTGTGTGGTAACACAGAGATCCACTCTATAGAGACATCACTGCTGTCAGCTTTAAAATAATCAAACATATAAGCACAATCACAACAAATCATAATAATACATTTTATTTGTAACACACTTTATGTTTAAGCAAAATCCCAAAGTGCTACAATTTAAAAACAACCAACCAAAAGTTAAAAATCAAACCCAAACACACAAACGCATGTTCAGCTTCACAAAATGTGCAAATAATCTGAATCAGAAGATCATTTATAGCAGAGCGATTAATAATCACAATCACAGGGCGAATGCTGCATTAAAGTTGCAAGAAAACATAATAGTTTTGCTTCAAACTCTATAACAAACCCTTTAATTTTAAATAAAATAAATTAATTTAATGCTTCATGAGTAACAAGTTAAACTATAAAAGAGTGTTAAAAGCGTACAGTCGTGTCCGTCCGGAGGGGATGCTTGCTTTAACTCCATTAAACCATCAACATAAATATCGTATATATTTTAAATCAGAGTATTTATCTGACATAATTATTTGGGGATGAAAATGCAAACAGGCTTTATGTCACTATGCACAAAAAAACGCATAAAGCTGACACTGAGTTATTAATATTTGGTTGATTCTCTTGTTTTTGCATGCGTTTCATAATTTGCATGTTTCATTTTATTATGTTTCATACACAATATGATTACAAAATCTTGGTCACACTTTAGTTTAGGGTCCGATTCACAACACTATTAACTCACTATTAACTATTAACTCTGACTCATGCCTCGATAAACTCCTAATTACTGCTTATGAATTAGTGCGGTTATTTAGCTTCGGGATTGTAGAATATGATCATGCCGAATAAGGCATTAATATGTGCTTTATACGTACTAATAAACAGCCGATGTCCTAATCCTAGTAATATGCATGATAATAAACAACTATTAATTACGAGAACTGAACCCTAAACTAAAGTGTAACAAAATCTCACATTTATAATAATATTTCCACGAATGTCTATTTCCTGCTCCGCCAGCACTTTCGGCCACTACTGTATACGGTTTTTTAAATTAGCTTTAGAAAAAAAACTAGAGAGTGTTTTGAGTAATATATTCTGGCTATCTGATTATTATTTAATCAGTCTTTATAATAGATGCAGTTCTAATGCAAGAATTGTGCAAGTAGGTCATGAAGCAGATGAGGGGAAGTCGAGCTGGAAACCTCATCTGTGGGCAGCACTTCCTGTGTGTGTGTGTGTGTGTGTGTGTGTGTGCGCGTGAGAGTGTGTGTGTATGTCTGAGTGAGTTTGTATGTGTGTGTGTATGTGTGTGTGTGTGTGTGTGTGTGTGCTTGTGTATGTCTGTGTGCGTGTGTGCGTGCGCGTGTGTGTGTGTGTGTGTGTGTGTGTGTGCGTGCGTGTGTGTGTGTGTGTGTGTGTGTGTGTGCTTGTGTATGTCTGTGTGCGTGTGTGTGTGTGTGTGCGTGCGCGTGCGTGTGTGTGTGTGTGTGTGTGTGCGTGCGTGTGTGAGTGTGTGAGTGAGAGTGTGTGTGTGTGTGTGTGTGTGTTCTCAGGTCTCCAGATCCCGCAGGACAGCACAGATCTGCTCCGGAGCGTCCCGTAACTCGTTCTTCCACGTCTGAGGAACGGCTGAGCCGATATACGCCGCCCGCGCGCCGAGAAGAGCTCCTAACGCTGCGCCGCGGTTGCAGTTCTCGCCTGCGGACACACACACACAGGTTACACACACACACACACACACACACACACACCAGCATTTTAGAGACGGAGAAACACACCTCCACAGTTGGTGTTGGTCAGGATTCCCTCCGTCACGTCATCATGAAAGCAGTACGCCAGATAGAAGAGGCTCGTCAGAGCTCCTGCGACACACACACACACACACACACACACACAAACACACACTCAGAGGAGCATCATGGGAAGTTCTGGTGCATTGTTGTACACAACTAAAAATTCTGTATTATGCTGCCAGAACAGTTCCAGTTCGCATGGATACGCGGAAGCGATAAATAATACATTTTTAAGGCCAGATAATTAATTTGTTGAGGTCACTTTGTAAAGAAAGACACACGCCTGCGCACATATATATTATAAGTATATATATAATAATGTATATAAGGGTGTTCAGTAGAGCGGTGTCGTGTTAGCGGCCGCTAAGTTAATAACTAATGATCTTTACAACGGAAGTGAATCAATCAAAACTAACTTTATCTGGACAATAACTTTATTCTAGAGCGGCTGTAAAGCCAAACACTCTCTGTTACTGTAATCTCCTGTTATCACTGTAAAGCTGCTGTGAAACTCTATAGTGTTAAAGCGCTCTATAGATGAAGGAGACGCGACTTTACTCTGGGTTTTCCTAACCTTGTGTGTAGCAGGCGAGTCCGAGAGACTCCACGGCGCTCTGATGGACCTTCAGACGCTCGGCTGGTGATGCTGGAAACCTGCTGGACACACACACACACACACACACACACACATCAGAGCCAATCGCAGACATCCCAGAGCATCATATCTTAAAGCGATAGTTCACCCAAAAATGTAAATTAGCCCATGATTTACTCGCCCTCGTCATCCTAGGTGTGTGTGACACTCTTCTTTCAGACGAACACAATCAGAGTTATATTAAAAAATGTCCTGGCTCTTCCCAGCTTTATAATGGCAGTGAATGGATGTTTCTGTTTCGAAGTCCATAAAAGTGCATCTCTCAGACTCCATGATAAAGTGCTCCACAGGCTCCGAGGGGTTAATAAAGGCCTTCTGAAGCGAAGCGATGCGTTTGTGTAAGAAAAATATCCATATTTAAAACTTTATTAAGTAAGATACCTAGCTTCCGGCTTGAGGGTGAGTAGATCATGGGCTAATTTGACTTTTTTGGGTGAACTATCCCTCTAATACAGCATGTTTCCCGCATGTTTCCCGACCTGTCGGCCCGCTGTATGAAGCGCTGACTCGCGTCCCAGGCGTCGAGCGCGGGCGATCTGAGCGCGGCCTCCGCCGTCCGCCGCAGACAGGCTCCGTTCAGCGTCGCGTGAAGCGCGCGAGCGTACAGAGACACCAGCGGCTCCAGCTGCGCGTGAGGATGAGTGAGCTTCACAAACTCCACCGCCGCACACACCTGCACACACACACACACACACACACACATCCAGGACCAGCGGAGACTCTGAGTGGACTAAGGAACTAAAGAAACCAAAACTCCATCAGAGACAGAATGGAGAGAAAGAAAGAAAGAACGTGTCACGTGACTCACCGCTTGCTCCTCATTGGCTGTGGCAGACATCAGCACGAAGGGAATGGCGGTGGGAAGGCAGCCGATGGCGTTCAGCTGTCCGTCACTGCGGGACGAGTTCAACATCCGCCTCGACCGCCGCTCCGCGAACTCCAGAACCTGCCGAGCGCAAAAGTAACACATTACTTCTCTAAAAAAGTAACTAAGTAACGCAACTAGTAACTTTTTAAGGGAGTAACGCAACATTGTAATGCATTAGTTTTCACAGCAGCTTCCCCAGGCGTGGCGGCGGGCGTCAGGTGTTCCGCTCACCTCTCGGGGGGACGTGGGCCGCTGCTCCCGCCAGTCGCTGAAGAAGCTCCGGTGGAAGGACTCCGCGTACGTGTCGCCGTGAGAGCCGGGACTCGTCAGGAACTCCACGTAATCCGACAGAACGGCGGCTCGCGCGGCGGGATCGGCGGCGCTGGGGAACGAGCCGGCGGACAGAACCCGGGCGGCTCTCAGAGCGCACAGAGCGTTCAGGGTGTTCTGACCCGCGAGAAGTCCTGCAGGAGAGGCACAATCACACCGCGGATGAGCGAGCTCTAGTTTACGAGTCTGGTTAGGTTTAGGATTTAGCGTTAGGATCAGGATTATACAGACTAAACGCTTCTCCCTGGCCGGACGACTGGAGCGGCGGTCTTTCAGGTCATAATGTAAAACGTTAACATTAAAAATACGTGGATTCAGAAATACAGTTCAGATATTTCATGTGTTCTAGCTCTAGCACACCTGGTGCAGCTAATGAAGCCCTTGATTAGTGAGACAACACCTGATCTGCAGATCTGAGCTGTTGTGAGGGATTCTGAATAAATTTTAGAATGTGGAAGTCATTAAATGTTGCATTTTCAGTTGAATTTGGAGAAACCACTTGTTGTGTTGAGCTATTTCAATTACTTTTGTCTGATTTGTTCATTGCAAACAGCTGAAAGTCTGTAAATTTTGACAATAAACCCAATTTGCAATGGGGGTTGAATACTTTTGATTACAACCGTATATATATTTTTTCACATATCTTCCTGTAAACGTTTCCCCGGACTCGTTTGAAGCCGCTGGATTGGACCGCTCAAGACTAGCAGGTTCAGTCACTCAGACTTGTTACCTTGATGGTAGTGCACCGATCCCCGCGGATCCATCCAGAACTTCAGCTTATCGTGCAGAATCACGTTCCCCACCACAGGATCTCCAGACGAGCCGTTAGTGCGACCGCTGCCAGCTGCACACACACACACACACACACGCACGCGGTCACACACACGCTACAGGTGCGTCAGTGCACAGGTGAGCGGGAACGGGAGTGTTACACACCGGTGTTGGACAGGCGGAGGATGCTGGACGGGTGTGTGTTGCGCGGCGCGTTGAAGCCCGTGATCCAGCCGCTGAAGTGTGTTCTGATGTCTGCGGTGTTGTAGAACCAGTGGACCGGCATCGACATCGCATCAGCAGCACACACTCCCCACAGCGCCTCCGTGACGGAGCGGCGCACCTGAGCCATGCGCACCTGACGGACACACACACACACACACACACACACACACACACACACACACACACACACACACACACACACACACACGCACACACACACCACCAGATACACCACATCACTCAATACTGTACATTTCTCTGTTCGCCACGTTTATGAATATTATTTTAATAAAATATTGGGGGCGAAAAATAATATCATGTAATTTGAAATATACTAAAATTAAATATATATATATATTATTTATATTACATACTTATGTATACATATACATAGATACATAAACATATTACATATATAATATTAATATTTGATTAATATATTAATATATTTTATATAAAATAATATACATATTATACATAAAACAACAATATATATATATATACACCCTCACACAAACACTCACGGCAAATGTTTTATATGATTTAAAACACTTAGTGTAGAGTTTAAGTTACATGAATCGTTCATCTCTACACACACACGCACACATACACACACACCCGCTGATCATGATGATAAATATGAATGAACTGATCTTACTGTAAATTATGAGATCCGCTCTGCAGTGAAGTGAACACACACACACACAGTCTTTCTGTAAAAATGTGTAGAATTGCATAACCGCACAATCATTGTTACAAAACCTCACCGGAAGTACACCGCATGATACATAACATACACAACTACGTCACGTGATGTCATATAAATGTGCATTTTATGCTTGTTAACGTAGATCTGTTTACAGTGTCAATATAATAAACTATCAGCAACTAATTTCCCACATCATGTCAAACACAGACATACATAGACGAACACTGAATCACTGATGGATGGAGAAGTCACTTAACGCGTTATAATTTTATACAAACGACACTGTACCAGCAAAATTATCCAATGATAGTGTAATTAATATAACTGTTTCGAAAATATGAAGGGAAAAAGTAACTAATAATATCGTTGATCGATTGATTTTGACTCTTACTGGAACCAAAACATTGGGAAGAGCGATTCATTTAGCGAACCGGTTCGTTCGGACAGTGTGTTTCTTCTATGAACTGATTCAACAACAAATGTGTGTCATCATCATTCAAATAAAAGAGTCACAGAAAACCGTGGCTAGCTGTAAAGAAAAGGCTTTAGTTAAATATGTCTCTCCGGTGAGGTTATAGAGTTTGCATCTAATGTCGTGTTGTTGAAGCTTCTCTCTGTGATTCACTCGAGCTTCGGTTTGAAAGAACAAATTAAATCACATGTGGGTGATTCTTCAGTGATGGCGCGTTCTTTCATTCACTTTAATGAAGTCGTTTAAGTAAGAAATCTGACATTTTCACCCAGTTTGCACAGGCTTTTTTAGCATTTCCGTGATGTTTATTGTCTTTGGCACATAATATTCGGTCACCATTCAGCGTCTCCGTGAGATAATAGAACAGAGTTGAGTTGTTGACATGGACTAGTATTGTTTGTCTCGATGTGTTCTCAGCTCACCCGAGGCTCAGAGATGATGATGGAGTGTGAAACCGGTAAGAGGACAAAAACACGATCCAAGAACGGGTTGCAAGCGTTCACATTCATTTATGAAAACGTTATTTCTGAATGTTTTCAAAACGTCCAGTTTTTAAATGTTCTGAAAACACACACACACACACACGTTGTTTTTATTGCTTATGTGAATATTCCATTGTCAAAAGTAACATTCCCGTAATGTTAGAAGAATGATACAATGTTCTCTGAGCGTTCTGAAACTAGCAACATTTAAAAACCGTCAGACGAACATCCAACTAAAACGTTCCATGAACGATGTATACATATATATTTTTTGTGCTAATGCTTTCAGAACATTATTAAAGACCAGATGACCGAGTGAACGGTCTATAATGTTAGCCCTGAGATTGAGAGAACGTTCCCCGTTGGGTCTCGATGATCATCCGTGTTCAGTCCTTCATGATGTCTGAGAACGGTTATTGATCAGAGGATGATCGTGTGTTTCAGAGCGAGCGAAGACCTTCTGGGAGGAAGTGGATGTTGATGAAGTGTTTGATGATCTGATCGAGGTTCTTTCTCTTTTACGAGACGCGATTAGACACAACACCGCAACAGACAGAGGTACTCACTCACTCACTCACACACACACACACACACACACACACTCACTCGCGCACACACACACACTCACACTCACACTCTTGTATTGTGATGTTTCAGAGTATGTTCAGGCCATGAAGATCATTCTAGAGTCGAAGCTGATCGTCCTCCGGCCCGAAGCCATCGAAGAGGTTCTGATTGATGAAGGTTTGTCCCGATCCTGATCAGTCCTGATGATCAATACTGCGTCTCATATCATAGTGTGTGTCACGAGAGTGTGTGTCACGAGAGTGTGTGTCTGCTGTGTTTCAGATATCCTGACGGTGACCGTGTCAGAGTCTCAGTGTTCTCCGGAGAGCTCGAGGAACGAGACCGAGGACGCTCTGCTGAAGGACGGCTCACGGTTCGTCATCATCATCATCATCATCATCACTACTGTGAGATTTATACAGTGTTGGGGAAACCCATTACAAGTAACTCGAGTAACGTAATCAGATTACTTTTTAAAAAAACTAGTGAAGTAATGCATTACTTTTTCAATTGACAACAAAATATCTGAGTTACTTTTCCACATTTATTGACTGACCGCTCTCCTGTCATTTCCTTCAGCCTGAGGCTTATTATTTCACTTCTGGTGTGAAAGGGCCTTAACATATTCCAAAAATATAACTTTTTTGTTGTTATTATTTTTTTTTTTGCATTACCTTTAAAAGTAGCTTTCCCCAACACTGGATCTCTCCTCTCAGGCTCTATTCGATGAATACAATACTAGATTGTGTGTAAGCTTGTTTCCAACACTGAATAAAACATGAGTGTGAGTGTTCTCTTCTCATGGATGATTTCACGCTCTCACTCAGACTCTCCAGAGACGCGGAGTCGGGCTCGGACTACAGTCAGATGTCCTCCGCCAGCCGGGCCGGTCCGGATCTCCCGCTGCTTCTGTCTCCTCTGAGCTTGTGTTCTGAAGAGGCCCGGTCCCCGGTGCCGCTCGTGTACCAGCCTCACGACTGCAGCCCGGCGTGTGTGCCGGCGCTCCCCGCTCACGCCGACCGGTTCCTGGGACACAACCCTCTGCGGGTGCCCATGCTGTGCCAGTTCCAGCGCCACTGCGCGCGGGTCTGGGCCGAGGATGAGTGTGAGGGCACAGACGTGCTTTATAAGGCGCCGTGTGGGCGGAGCCTGCGCTCGATCGACGAAGTGCTTCAGTTCCTGCGTGAGTCCGACACTCAGGCCGTGTTGCAGCCGAGCAACTTCAGCTTTAATGTGCAGATCGTTCCCGAACATCAGGCGCGAGCTCCCGCCTCTCCGGCGCTCCTGTTCGAGCGGGACCTCAGCCGCGGGATCGAGCCGGTTCCCGTGCCTCTGTTTAACGAGGTGGACGGGACGCGGATGAAGGAGTTTCGCTACCGTAAGGAGCGCTGGCCGCACGGATGCTTCCTCAGCGCGGAGCCGTTCTTCTCAGCGTGCTGCGACTGCACTGACGGCTGCGCAGACGCTAAAACCTGCGCTTGTGTTCGGCTGACGACCAGAGGAGGCGCTCAAGCTTACACACACCAGAGACTGAGCCAGCCTGTGCGGGCAGGGTGAGTCTGGGGCGTTGGGTTGGGTTGGGTTGAGTTGGGTTAAGAGATGAGTTGGGTTTAGCTGTAGGGGACTCTCAAGCTTACACACACCAGAGACTGAGCCAGCCTGTGCGGGCAGGGTGAGTCCGGGGCGTTGGGTTGGGTTGAGTTGGGTTGGGTTAAGAGATGAGTTGGGTTTAGCTGTAGGGGACTCTCAAGCTTACACACACCAGAGACTGAGCCAGCCTGTGCGGGCAGGGTGAGTCTGGGGCGTTGGGTTGGGTTGGGTTGAGTTGGGTTAAGAGATGAGTTGGGTTTAGCTGTAGGGGACTCTCAAGCTTACACACACCAGAGACTGAGCCAGCCTGTGCGGGCAGGGTGAGTCCGGGGCGTTGGGTTGGGTTGAGTTGGGTTGGGTTAAGAGATGAGTTGGGTTTAGCTGTAGGGGACTCTCAAGCTTACACACACCAGAGACTGAGCCAGCCTGTGCGGGCAGGGTGAGTCCGGGGCGTTGGGTTGGGTTGGGTTGAGTTGGGTTAAGAGATGAGTTGAGTTTAGCTGTAGGGGACTCTCAAGCTTACACACACCAGAGACTGAGCCAGCCTGTGCGGGCAGGGTGAGTCCGGGGCGTTGGGTTGGGTTGAGTTGGGTTGGGTTAAGAGATGAGTTGGGTTTAGCTGTAGGGGACTCTCAAGCTTACACACACCAGAGACTGAGCCAGCCTGTGCGGGCAGGGTGAGTCCGGGGCGTTGGGTTGGGTTGAGTTAAGAGATGAGTTGAGTTTAGCTGTAGGGGACTCTCAAGCTTACACACACCAGAGACTGAGCCAGCCTGTGCGGGCAGGGTGAGTCCGGGGCGTTGGGTTGGGTTGGGTTGAGTTGGGTTAAGAGATGAGTTGGGTTTAGCTGTAGGGGACTCTCAAGCTTACACACACCAGAGACTGAGCCAGCCTGCGCGGGCAGGGTGAGTCCGGGGGGTTGGGTTGAGTTGGGTTAAGAGATGAGTTGGGTTTAGCTGTAGGGGACTCTCAAGGTTACACACACCAGAGACTGAGCTAGCCTGTGCGGGCAGGGTGAGTCCGGGGCGTTGGGTTGAGTTGGGTTAAGAGATGAGTTGGGTTTAGCTGTAGGGGACTCTCAAGCTTACACACACCAGAGACTGAGCCAGCCTGCGCGGGCAGGGTGAGTCCGGGGGGTTGGGTTGAGTTGGGTTAAGAGATGAGTTGGGTTTAGCTGTAGGGGACTCTCAAGGTTACACACACCAGAGACTGAGCCAGCCTGCGCGGGCAGGGTGAGTCCGGGGGGTTGGGTTGAGTTGGGTTAAGAGATGAGTTGGGTTTAGCTGTAGGGGACTCTCAAGGTTACACACACCAGAGACTGAGCTAGCCTGTGCGGGCAGGGTGAGTCCGGGGCGTTGGGTTGGGTTGGGTTGAGTTGGGTTAAGAGATGAGTTGGGTTTAGCTGTAGGGGACTCTCAAGCTTACACACACCAGAGACTGAGCCAGCCTGCGCGGGCAGGGTGAGTCCGGGGGGTTGGGTTGAGTTGGGTTAAGAGATGAGTTGGGTTTAGCTGTAAGGGACTCTCAAGGTTACACACACCAGAGACTGAGCCAGCCTGTGCGGGCAGGGTGAGTCCGGGGCGTTGGGTTGGGTTGGGTTGAGTTGGGTTAAGAGATGAGTTGGGTTTAGCTGTAGGGGACTCTCAAGCTTACACACACCAGAGACTGAGCCAGCCTGCGCGGGCAGGGTGAGTCCGGGGGGTTGGGTTGAGTTGGGTTAAGAGATGAGTTGGGTTTAGCTGTAAGGGACTCTCAAGGTTACACACACCAGAGACTGAGCTAGCCTGCGCGGGCAGGGTGAGGCCGATGGGCTGGGCTGAACTGGGTTGGGTTGAGTTAACAGATGAGTTGGGTGAAGTTTAGGGATGGCCCGATACCGATACTGGCATCGGGGATCGGGCCGATACTGTCCTCATATACTCGTACTCGTACTCATAAAAATTCGCCGATACCACGTACATTTTGCAAAACGAAACTGGCCGCCGCGAGAGCTTTGTCGAGGTGAACTGAGGCATAGGAAAGTAGCCTATAATGTCGGCGGTTAGGGCTCATTTCAAGATAAGGGATGATGACAACAGCAAGGCAGACTGTGAGTTATGTTCAGCTAAGGTGTCGAGAGGAGGGAAAGAAAGTACATCGTTTAACACCAGCAATCTAATTAAACATCTGAAGACGCATCATAGATCTGATGGCCGAGCGCGCGCGCGGGCGGTAATGCACTCACTCTGTGTGTGTGCGGGAGAATAAAACGATTCGCGGGACTCCCGCAAACTAGAAATATCTTTGAATAAAACATAAAAACTAATAGATTTTTATTCATCTCTTGCAGAAAAGCAAAAAGAACAACTACAACAAAATAGAAACGATTTACAGGACAGAGTTTCTATTCATAACATGTTTGCAGCGTTGAGCAATGTAGCCAATCACAGACATATGTGTTGATTTCTGGAACGCAATGGCCAATCAGAAGCATTTAAGATAGACTCCCCTCACCGCTCAAAACGGACTTTTTTGTTCAGTGCTGAATTCTGTATGCTGGCAAATCCTCTAATTATAACAAACAAAGTGTGGATATTATAAAAGATTGATTGTGCAGTCAGCTTTATTGATAATAACAGAGATGTGTGAGATCGCGATGAACTGTCAGCTTTTAGGATTTATTAAGGGTGCGCACTTTGCGTGCATTCAGTCATGCCCATGCACGCAATAGCCTGCTTGCTTTTATGTTAAATTAACAGTGGTTTGTGTGTTAATACATTTATTATTTTACTTTTTTTTTTTTTTTGACTTGTTAAAACAAGCAGAGAAGAAAATAAAAACAGTCTTCTGACCTGTGTTCTAAAATAGTCGTCTTCTTTTCTGGGAGCCTATTACTTTTGCGGTAGAAATATCGGTATCGGTACTCGGTATCGGCAAGTACACAAATGTAAATACTCGTACTCGTATCGGTTTGAAAAAAAATGGTATCGGGCCATCCCTAGTGAAGTTGAACTGAGTTGAGTCGTGTTAGGTTGGGTTGAGTAAGGTTGTGTTTTGTTGGGTTGAGTTCAGTAGAGTTTGGTTGGGTTGAGTTGAGTTGTGTTGGTTTGGGTTTAGGTGGGTCAAGTTGGATTTAGCTGTAGGGGACTCTCAAGGTTACAGACACCAGAGGCTGAGCCAGTCTGTGCGGGCAGGGTGAGGAGGATGGGCTCGGCTGGGCTGAACTGGGCTGAACTGGGTTGGGTTGGGTTAACAGATGAGTTGGGCTGAGTTAAGTTGGGATGGGTGAAGTTGAACTGAGTTGAGTCGTGTTAGGTTGTGCTGAGCTGAGTTGTGTTTTGTTGGGTTGGGTTGAGTTTAGGTGGGTCGGGTTGGGTTTAGATGGGTTGTGTTGTGTTGAGTCGTGTATGTGTTGTATGCCTGAGCCGCATGTGAGCGCTGGCTGTGATCTTCAGGTTGTTAGAGTGCGGCCCGTGGTGCGGCTGCCAGAAGAGCCGGTGCCAGAACCGTGTTGAGTTGTGTTGTGTTGAGTTGTGTTGTGTTGAGTTGTGTTGTGTTGTGTTGTGTTGGGTTGTGCAGGTTGTTTGAGTGCGGCCCGTGGTGCAGCTGCAAAAAGAGCCGGTGCCAGAACCGTGTGGTCCAGAAGGGTCTGCGTGTGCGGCTGCAGGTGTTCAGGACACTGGGCCGGGGCTGGGCCGTACGCTGCCGGGACGACCTCGACCAGGGCACCTTCATCTGCATCTATGCAGGTACACACACACACACACACACACACACACACACGCACACGCACCACGGTTATAACTAAAACTCTAACTCTAACCATAAATATTTTTTTTCATTTAATTAGAAAAAATAAACATTAACTGAAATAAAAAAAAATACATTTCTCATTTTCGGATCTATGTGGTGGACCGTTTTGATCTCCTCGAGACCTTGAGTTTCAGCACTTCTACAGTACAGACGGACTCAAAACAGCTCCACTGTGATAAACCGAATCAATTGTGCACTTCAAATTTGAATTGTCTATTGAATCTGAATTAGAGTCATAATTCACGTCAGTGTTGATTCAATTCAGTTTGCCAATGTTGCAAATTTCAGTTATGAACAATTTCTTTTCAGGCATAAAGCAGCTGCACAAACGTTGTTTAATAGAACTTTATAAGTAGCAGTTATTTGAAATGAATTAACACTGAATTGATCTGAATGATGACACTATTGCTTTACAGCAGAATCTGAATTTTGTTCATAATTCAGCTTTGAAACTGAGTCCACATTGGACTGAATTTCTGAAATGACGCTGCTTTATATCCAAGTTTAAAGACAATAGTCAGTTCAATGATGAAACAATTCAGTTTAAATACTGTTGCAGAGTTAAAAACGTCATATGCTCTCGATGACGAATGCGGAACAGTTAGTTCATGCGTTCATGAGCTCAAGGCTAGATTACTGTAATGCTCTACTGGGTGGTTGCCCTGCACGCTTAATAAACAAACTCCAGCTGGTCCAAAACGCAGCCGCTGAAAGATATGTCTCACACCGTGTCCTAACTAGATACGAGATCAGAATCCAGTGACTCTCCACACCACTGTTATTTTAGTGCCATTGAATTATTATAATTATTAGAATCACACAATTATTTAGTTGATTTATTTAAACAACTATAAACAATAAACAGACATTAATAAGACTAATAAAAATGTTGTGTTGTCCAGGTGTGGTCCTCCGGCTGGAGTCGAGCGCCGAGGAGCCGCCGGACCTCAGCCGAGAGCCGCCCGTGTCTGATGACGAGGTGGAGGTGGTGGAGGAGTGGACTCTTCCCTCGGGCCCGAAGGAGACGCTCGACTGCTCTCCGCCACTGCATGTCCCGGTGATCCAGAGACCCGCCGATCAGCTCCCGGTCAGGATTGCAATATTACAATTACAATTTACAGTGATCTGTCTGAAAGTTGAATAATTGAATGCAGAAACAAAGAGATCATTAAGGTAATGAATATTTGTTTGTTAACAAATGAGAAAGATGTAAGATGTCAGCTGAAGTCTTCATAATAGGCTGGATCCAAGTTACTTATAAAACTTACACAAACTGGAGCTGGCATCGCATCCCGAGATTAAAAATGGAAATGTGAAATGTATAACTGAGCATCATCGGCATAACAATGGAAATTAATTCCATGTTTTCTTATAATATTACCAAGTGGCAGCATATGTACTGAGAATAGCAGCGGGCCTAACACCGATCCCTGCGGCACTCCATCATTTACTGACATTATCTCAGATTTCCTCATTAAGTACACAAAATGGTAACGGTCTGATAGATACGATCTGAACACGGTCTCAATGTGTGTTTCTTCAGCCCACTGAACTGCCCTCAGTGTACATGTTTCCCTGTTGCAGGAGCAGGAGCGGAGCGTGTCGTCGCTGGACGGCAGTGAGACAGGTACAGTACGAGCCCGTTCAACACATGCACTGCACTCAGAGCGGCCTCTGGACACGTGTGTGTGTGTGTGTGTGTGTGTGTAGAGCATGAGGTCTCCAGGAAGAAGCCCAGACTAACGCTCCCCGAATCGAACGGACACGCCGACAGCGCTGAGATCCCGTCACACAAGCATCAGGACAAAGCCTATTACCTGGACGCCTCTAAAGAGGGAAACGTGGCCCGATTCATCAACGTACGTTTTCCGTCAACTTTTTCATTATGAGATTCAAAAATCCAAATTATGAGATGAAAAGTTGAAATTCACTTTGTAATCATTTTTAATTTGTCATCATAATATTCTTTTTTATTGTCATAATTTACCATTTTTACTCATAATTTCATTTATGACATTTTATGACATGATTTTTTTACGTGATAACTTTTACCATTTGTCGTCAATTTGACTTTGTCATAATTTAATTTACCCACAATTTAATTTAGTCATAATTTCAACTTTTTGTCATGTTGACTTTGTCATAATTGAATTTACTCATAATTTCGACTTGTCATAATTGCGTTTTTATGTGATAATTTTTACTTTGTCATTATTTTGACTTTGTCAATTTTTTGTTAACGTAATAGTCATCATTTTGACGCATAATTTCTTAGTATGTCATCATTTCAATTTTTTTTCATAATTGATTGTCAATTCTGACTCATCGTTTTGACTTTTTAGTCATAATTTCAACTTTTTATGCCATAATTATATTGTTTTTTGTCATCATTTTGATTTTTTAGTCATAAATTCTACTGTCATAGTTTTGACTTATAATTATGACTTTATATTTGAGTATATTCTGGCTGAAGCAGCGTGAGAAGTGGCGAGTGTGTAATAATACGCCAGGTTGAATGATTGACGTTAATGCGAGCTCTTCACCTGCAGCACAGCTGTGAGCCCAACCTCTTCATCCAGAACGTCTTCGTGGACACACACCACCCACAGTTCCCCCTCATCGCCTTCTTCACTAACAGGTGACCATCATCAGTCATGCTTGATAACAGGTGACCATCATCAGTCACGCTTGATAACAGGTGACCATCATCAGTCATGCTTGAGATGATCACGTTCAGCATCAGTCGAGTCATCACTTCTGCAGCGTCTTCACAGTGATAAACGGGAGCATAACTTCATCAGATTCAGCGTACGGACAGTGTCTGTGCGACCCGTGGAAAGGAACGTGACTGTGTTTGTTTGTCTTGTTTCTCAGGTCAGTTAAAGCTGGAACTGAGCTGACCTGGAACTACTCGTACACGCCGGGCAGCGACCCGGATCATGAGGTGAGCTGTCGCTGTGGCAACACCAGCTGTCAATCACTCGTCGTCTGAGGCTGTTGTGCTGCTTCGAGGGGTTTTTATGCAGCAGCCGGAGCTCAAATAAAGTTGAGTCGAGCAAAACGTGTCTTGTTTCTCTTATTTTAAAACATCTTGAACTACTGATACAGCAATGCTTGATATTTGCATAAAATGAAGAATATCACAAGCAAATTACCAATACAGGTATAAAGCAGATGAGCAGACACCACTGAAATGACTAGAGCAGTGTGTATCAGAGACGAGTTCAGCAGAAGTTCAGCACTAACATGTTCTTTTGAAGGTTTCCTGAGGTCCGTGACTCAGGCCTGTGGCCGCAAGCATGAAAGGGCCTGAAAACCACAGCCGTGAAACCGAGCGTTTTGATCTCCTCGAGACCTTGAGTTTCAGCACTTCTACAGTACAGACGGACTCAAAACAGCTCCACTGTGATAAACCGAATCAATTGTGCACTTCAAATTTGAATTGTCTATTGAATCTGAATTAGAGTCATAATTCACATCAGTGTTGATTCAATTCAGTTTGTCAATGTTGCAAATTTCAGTTATGATAAATTTCTTTTCAGGCATAAAGCAGCTGCACAAACGTTGTTTAATAGAACTTTATAATTAGCAGTTATTTGAAATGAATTAACACTGAATTGATCTGAATGATGACACTATTGTTTTACAGCAGAATCTGAATTTTGTTCATAATTCAGCTTTGAAACGGAGTCCACATTGGACTGAATTTCTGAAATGACGCTGCTTTATATCCAAGTTTAAAGACAATAGTCAGTTCAATGTTGAAACAATTCAGTTTAAATACTGTTGCAGAGTTCAAAACGTCATATGCTCTCGATGACGAATGCGGAACAGAATGCGTTCATGAGCTCAAGGCTAGATTATTGTAATGCTCTACTGGGTGGTTGCCCTGCACGCTTAATAAACAAACTCCAGCTGGTCCAAAACGCAGCCGCTCGAGTTCTTACCAGAACCAGGAAGTATGACCATATTAGCCCGGTTCTGTCAACACTGCATTGGCTGCCTATTAAACATCATATACATTTTAAAATATTGCGGATTACCTACAAAGCACTAAATGGTTTAGCTCCCAGTACTTGAGTGAGCTCTTAACGCATTATAGTCCTTCACGTCTATTGCCAGTTGATAATACCTAGAATATCAAAATCGACTGCAGGCGGGAGATCCTTCTCCTGTAGACAACTTCCCAAAACAATCTTACTTTAATTTCCCATTATCACTGTAAAGCTGCTTTGAGACAATCTATATAGTTAAAAGCGGTATATACCAGTAAATGGTGGCTTGACAATATTCTAATTGAAGATAGTTAACTCCACATCAGCAACAAATTCATCAACTAACCATTCAGAAGTGAGGGATTCGGAGCTGCTAACACACACGCTCTTGAACCCCTGTGCCGGGAGCAGCAGCTCATTTGCATTTAAAGGGACACGAAATTAATTTACTGACCCTCAAAAAGGGACAATTTTAACATGCTGTGGGGTATTTTGAGGTAAAACCACACACTCTGGGGACATCAGAGACTTATTTTACATTGTATAAAGGCGCATTATACCACCCATTTAAGTCTTTCAAGCCCAGGATTTAGAAACCTGATGAATTAGTGCCTTAAAGCCAGACAATGTAGAAGAAAAACATTTTATTAATACTATTGAGAAGAGATTAAAGTGCTAAAAACATTAAAGTCCTCGCAGTCAGAAGTCCTGGGACTGGCCTGGTTTGCTGGTGTCCGGGTCTCGGGTCTCAGAAGTCCTGGGACTGGCCTGGTTTGCTGGTTTCCGGGTCTCGGGTCTCAGAAGTCCTGGGACTGGCCCGGTTTGCTGGTGTCCGGGTCTCGGGCTGCTTTGGTCTTCTTGGGCAGTAGTTGGGCCTGGATGTTGGGCAGAACTCCTCCCTCAGAGATCGTGACTCCGCCCAGCAGCGTGTTCAGCTCCTCGTCGTTGCGCACCGCTAGCTGGATGTGACGCGGTGCGATGCGGAGCTTCTTGTTGTCGCGGCACGCGTTGCCCGCGAGCTCCAGCACCTCCGCGCACAGGTACTCGATGACCGCGGTCAGATACACCGACGCGCCGGAGCCGATGCGCGGCGCGTAGTTCCCCTTCCGCAGGAGACGCGCCACGCGGCCCACCGGGAACTGGAGCCCCGCGCGGGAGGAGCGCGACACGGGCGCCTTGGGTTTCGCTGCGCTTGCGAGCTTCTTACCACGGCCAGACATGATGAGCAGATCTAGAAGAGACAAACCATCGGTTAATCTGAGCTCAACTACTCTGGTCGAGTACCGGAAGAGTTACAAGTATGCAAAGGAGTAAAGTCGATTAGAAGTTGAATGACAATAAGCAAAGTACCAGTGAAGTGATTATTCATCTGAACAACACTGATCTAAAACACTAATGGAGTATCTGAAAAAAGTAGATCTTTACAAGTGTTGCAAATGAGTATACCTATTAAAGTGTTTGACAAGTAAATTCTGATTAAAAAGAAACACTAGAAAAACAAAAATTTACCCGTTTAACACAAACAAGGAACACGCAGTAAAGCTGTTTAACTCACATCTGAGAATCTAATCCTTCATAACTGGACTTACAAGTAGTCAAGATGCAAAGTAGTAAAGTAACTTAAGTTT